AGAGAGTCCGGTTCTGGTACGCATAAATGCGTACGCATTTATGTCCGCAAAAGCCCAAAATTTTTTGAGAAAGCGGGCCCGACGCGAGGTCTCAATCAGCGTAGGCTAGCTTTTGGTGGGGCCCTACTGCAAAAATCAGATGAACCCTTCATAACAACTCTTAAGGTTCGAAGTAGAAACAAAAGTGCTGAGCCTCTCTCTGAGCAATGGTGAAAGCAAACTACAAGAAATAAGGTTCGAAGTAGAAACAAAAGTGCTGAGCCTCTCTCTGAGCAATGGTGAAAGCAAACTACAAGAAATAAGAGGCTCCAAAGATCGAATCACTCCTTTCCTCACAAGTATTCCAAATGATGTCGCTGCTCCCCAAACAATCATTTCCTTTCGATGAACATCATAATTATCCACCAACAGAAACAAAAACTCCAAAAGGGTGTGAGTGATATCAACATATTGTGGCAAAGAATTCACCATCAAGAGCATTGCAGGCTCTATATTCATAATATTATCCACCTTCTCATCAAAGAACAACCAATCATTGAACAAAGCAAGCTTCACATTTGCCAGAAAATAGTTCTTCCACAACAAGTCAGAAGCCAACCAATGACTGCCCATCTTGATATAACATCTGAATGAATAATCTCATTCGAAGGATGATGAGCACAACATATAAACCGAACAATGTCAATAATAACAGTTTCACTACTGGGCAAACTCAAGTGTTTCTTAGCAAACCAAGCTTGATATCTCTTCTAATTCCCCCATTTCACACGAGTAAGCAAAAATCTCAAGTGGGTCTCCATTTCAGGACTAATTCTCAGCAAAAAATACTGACTTGAAGTCCTCACACAATACAACTGTGAAATATCTGTAAAGCCCGGTACCTAAAATTTACTAGGATCAAACAACAAATCTTTCCAAATTTATCTAAATTCCGGGATAAAAACCAAATCTTGCAGCAGCCTAACCAAATCTCTACCAATCTTCACACACAAAGCAAAGCATGCCGAGCTTGCTTCCGCCGTCGGAGGCGAGGCCTGTGTGCATCTCGACGGTCATCGCGCCCACCACCTGCCTCAGCCTCGCCGTCGACGTCGAGCATCCCCCCTCGAACTCCGCGAGAATCTCGAGGATCCTCGACCATTTCCGGCGATTCTTGACTCGTTTGGTCACCAGGATCCCGGCAATCGTGAGGGAGAGAGCGGCGCAGCCCACCGCTATGCCGAAGCCCACCAGGTCCATCAACGATTAAGGGGTCATGGCTGAATGTGGATGAGAGAGACACCAGAGATGAGAGAGAAGGGGATAGGTTTTATTTATGGGCTCTTTTGCATATACGCCTTTCTCAAAAAATTTTGGGCTTTTGCGGGCATAAATACGTACGCATTTATGCGTACCAGAACCGGACACCGCCACTCTTAAGGAATTTGCGGGCATATATATCAGTGCGTTTCTCATACGCACTGATGCGTACGCACTTTCCTCCGTTCTCTCTCTCCCCAAAAATTCAACTAAACTTTCCCCCAAATTCCTCAATCCCTCACCCCCTTCCTACG